CAGAGGGAGAAGCAGACCTCCCCGCTGAGCAGGGAGCCCGATGCGGGACTCGATCCCAGGACTCCAGGATCACGACCCAAGCCGAAGGCAGTCGCCCAACCAACTGAGCCACCCAGGCGCCCCTGTTGATGAATTTCTAACTGTCCCTTTAGAAGTATAACTCTATCCATCTATTAGGCCAAGAGAAGCTTCCTAGATAAGAATTCTCTTATCAGCAAATGATAAATGGAGTTATTTTCCCTCAGATTTACTCAGTGTAATGTTCATAGACATTTCCCAAGGCAACAGTTTTTCCATGATCTGCTCACTTAATTTAAAAAAAAAAAAAAAGCTTCTCAAATATGCACTAGTTTAGGATGAAAAGAGAGAATCAGAATGCCACAGCTTGATTTGAAAAATGTAAAAATCACCAATGATTGTGCCCACAGAAATACCTAGATGGGCAAGCCTGCTCTGTACCTTGGTCCCTCTGGCCTGGCCCTATTTCTTCCTGGGAGATAATACGCCCAATATGAAGGAACTAGAATAAACAAGGAGGAAAATTTTTTGAAGAATCAGAACTCTGTGTTCTTTTTTTCTGCCTAGACTTGTTTTATTCCTTCCTTGTTATTCCTGGAAAAAATGCTGTTGTAATCATCTCTTCCAAAGTGAGTTACTTTGCTCTGTCTCAAGTGAAGGAATGTATTTCTCTAAGCCAAAAATAAAACCAGATAAATGCCTTCAGTCCTTATTTACCAAGATACGCCCGATGTGAGCTGAAATAGTACATCATTATCTATACAAGTCTTAATGGACACAGTTTTCTTCACATAAAAAGCAACCAGACTCTTGGTGTCTATTTCCACTTAATGAAAGTCAGTGCTTTGTGGCAAAAAAATAATGAGCAGGAAGCCTATCGATTTATGTTTTTACTGAGGCTTTTTTCTGTCTTCCTTCAAGTTTTGCCACTGGCTGTGTTGTGAATGGGGGAAACATGAGGTGCTTCTGCAAACCCGGATACACAGGCACACAGTGCGAAAGGTGGGTGCGGCCCCTCCCCCCACTCCCACCCCTTGCCTCCCTCATCCCCCCAGCCCAGGGGAGGGTGGGCTCTGCAGTCAGGCTGCAGCAGGCTCGGGCCGTGGGTGGGGGCTGTGCTAGGTCGGGGCTCAGAGCTGGGTGGGGCTGTTGGTTCACTGAGGGTGGAAAAAGGTCCCTAGGGGAAAATACAAGACTGCTCACTTAATAAATCATTAACTTCCTTCTCTTTCTTTTTACATGTTTCAGAAATTTGAGAATGAGGCCCAACATATCATAGCCCTATATACCCCTAACACACATCCCTACATACTCCTATCCCCCTGCACACTCCCTCGTACCCCTCCCCCTCCACATCCCTACAGACTTATACCCCCTACGTGTCCTTACTTACCCCTACCTTCATAGAAATTCTTCCTTACATACTCCTACCCCACTATACACATCCCTACATATCCCCACCCATCACACACGTGTCCTTATATATCCCTTCCTGGCACACATATCCCTACCTAGCCCTAGCTCCGTAGAAACTCATCCCTACATACTCCTTGCCCTACAGATGCATCCCTATGTACCCCTACCCCACATACAACCCTACTTGCCTGGACACACACATACAACTCGTCATACTCCTATATGCACACACATATCCACAGCCCTAAATATTCCTACACACACACACGCACATGCACACCTATCCCTACACATCATCCCCTCTCTATCCCCACCCATTATGAACACCTGCAGGACAGTCTATGGCATTCATTTCTGAATCACTACTACCTACCTCGGCACTGTTCATGTAACAGGTGTTCAGTAATGAAACAAAAGAATAAATGTTGCAAAATGGAAACTATGAACTTAATTATGAAGGGCCGTGGAGCCAAGCTTTAGTTATTCAGGAATAAATTTTCATGATTAGCTACCATACATAGGGCACTGCCAAGCATCGTAAGGGCTATAAAAGGTATTCACAGTCTACCTGGGGAAGATAGTACATACATATTTGAAAAAGTAACAGTGTAGCATTTGAATCATATGGACAACATATTTTTAAGTTTAAAATAACTTTATCATAAAATCAATACATACTTATAAAAATGATGTAATACAGGTGAGCAAAGAACCAACGAGGGTCGGGCTTGGTTAGTACTTGGATGGGAGGCCCACTACACCTCTGTAGCCCTATATACTTGTGCATGCTCACATAATCCTACTTATAATCATTTTATTTATGGAAAACCCCAGTTAAAACTTGTGTATTCTTACTAATCAATCTGTGTGCACAGATGTTTTCTTAAAAACAAGAATAGATTGTTGTTTTACTTTGTTTCGACTTGCTTTCTCATCTAGTGGAAGGTTAGCACTATCTTTCCATATCAGTAAGTATTCACTCATAACATTGTGTCAGAACCAAGAAGTTCTGGAATCTACTGCTGGTCTTTGAGATAGTTTTACTGTTTTCCATTCAAAGCTGCGCTAAAAGGAAATCCTTACAGCGAATTATTTGTGTGCGTAAATCCTCAAGATATAATTAACAGAAGTGGGTCTCTTGGATCAAAGGATAGGTGCGTTTTTCAGGCTTTTGATACATTTTGCCAAATTGCCTTCCAGAAAAGTCATCCTTGTTTCTATTCCTACCAGTAGCAAAAGAGCAAGTGCTGCGGCCAGTGATACTAGAAATGATCAAATTTTATTTTTTATTAAAGATTTTATTTATTTATTTGACAGAGAGAGAGAGACAGCGAGAGCAGGGACACAAGCAGGGGGACTGGGAGAGGGAGAAGCAGGCTTCCCACAGAGCAGGGAGCCCGATGCAGGGCTCGATCCCAGGACCCTGAGATCATGACCTGAGCCGAAGGCAGACGTTTAACGACTGAGCCACCCAGGCGCCCAAAACGATCAAATTTTAAAATATTTGCCAGTTTGGGGCACCTGGGTGGCTCAGTCGTTAAGCGTCTGCCTTCGGCTCAGGTCATGATCCCCAGGTGTTGGGGGCAAGTGTTTATCATTTTAATTTGCATTTCTTTTTTTAATAATTAGCTTGGATTTTTTTCATGTGCTTATTGACCATTCGTAGATCTTATTTTTTGGATCGCTTTCTGGGTCTTTTACTCATTTTTTTTCCCTAGTGGAATGTTCTTTCCTTTTTTTTATTGGTTTGTACAAATTCTTTGGAAAGAAATGAACCTTTCGTACTATATGTTGCAGATATTTTTCTCAGTTTGTTTTTTGTTTGTATGGTTTTTTTTTTTTTTGGTTTTCTGTTTTGTTATATGTATCTATTCTTGTATTCTTCAGGCGGTCAGTCATTGGAGTTATGCTTAGGGAGGTTATAAAAATGTTTATGCAGTTTTTTGGTACTTTTATGGTTTTATTTCTTCACGTTGGTGAAGATTTGGAAGCTAGCCTTTTGGTGGTGTCATGGCATCTCACGTGGCAGGTAGAGTTAGGGTCAACAATGTGCAGCCAGAATCGGCCAGGGTCCAAGTAACTCTGACTATCCCAGGATCCCATCACATGACCTGGGGCCCAGGCTGCATGAAATACACATAGTAATCGGCTGCATCCCAGAACCAAACTCAGTAGGGTGAGATGTTCACACTAGGGGAGGCACAAGGAAAGTAGGCCAATTAGGGGCCTGGCAGATTCCCAGCCCTCATGTCACACTCACTGCAGGATGTGTGCTCATGGAGTAAATGGGGCAGCTTTTCTCTCTCTTCCTCTCAGGCTGTCACACTCTTGTTCTCTCCCCCACCTCTCTCTCTTTTGTCAAGCACATGTAGTTGAATTCACTAAAGGTCAATGTGCATTTACAAAATTTCAACATGAACTTAGACTCGTTTCTGTACATTTTATTTGATCTTTGTGCCATTATCATTTCCATGTCATTTCTGAAAGTGTAAAAGGCCTTTCGATATTTGGTTGAGCAAGGCTTCCCCCATAACCCTTATTTAAAATGTTTTCCTTGGCCATTCTGGCATGTTATTTTCCTGGATAAACTTTAGAAGAGTTTTACCTAATTTCAATAACCAGAAAACGTATTCAGCTGGATTTCATAGGAAGAAGGCAGGGCCACTCTAGACTGGGGTTATCTGAGACATTTGATGGACAGCGTGGGACCTAGGTAGATCTAAGGGATAACAAGAGCCTGGTGGGGCTGGAAGGTGGCTCAAGTTAGCGAAGTAATGCAAGAAAACCCAAGGGCCTCTAGGATACTTGGCATGGGAGGAAGGGGCAGACTGCCTTATCATGGGGATCCCTGAGCATCAGCTTCGGGGCTGGGCACTGTCCTGTGATAAAAGGAAGCAATTTCAAGGTTCTATTTTCCATTTCTGCAGGAGGAACATTGCCCACAATTGCCTCACATCTATTATTCATTCTTTCTTTCGATGAAAAATGTATGGAGATCCTAGTACATGCCTGGCACTGGGCTAAGCACTAGAGAGACGGCAGCAGCTGGGGCAGAGACTCTGCCTTCCGGGTTTTACAGTCCCAAGGTGGGCAGGTACACAAACCCGCTGCTGAAACAGTGACCAAGAACATGACCATGACCGGACTGGGTGGGGCTGCTGTGGGAGGGGCCTCCAACCAGCCTCGAGGGGTGAGGCTGAGGGACGGGAGGGGCCGCTACACTGAGGCAGGAAGGATGATGGGTGGGATGGACGATGGGAAGTTTCTTCCAGGCTCTGCGGTTGAAAAGCTGTGAGACTCCCACCTGGGAGAGGCATCCTAGTGTAATCCTCCTTACGGTTCTTCACAAACAATGAAGCAGAAAACGGCAACAGACTGGCTGAGACATCCGTTTGGCAGGCCGCAGATTTGAAAAGAGAAATTTTTAATGAACAGTTCTCACAGCTTATGTTTGTTACATTTGCTGTCTCAGGAAAGCAAACGGGTGCTTCTTAATTTTTTTTTTTAAAAACTTTTCCACAGGTAAATGCCATATTAATGTCAAATTTTTTCATTTGTTAAACATTTCTTGAGGACCTACTCTGTGCCAGGCATCATCCCGGCACTAGTCATTAGCGATGCAGCGGTAGGTACAAGGACAGGATAGGGTGAAAAGGAAAAATATAAGCAGGAGCCGGCGGGGCAGAGGAGGGAGCAGCCAATCTGAGGACTGGGATAGGAAAGGCTTCCCAGCTCGTACTGTGCTCTGGGGCACGTTTCTCCCTCAGCCCTTCAGAGCCACAGATGACAAATATGTTCTCTGTTCTTTATTTGTTGTCCCAATGCCATCTAGGAAATCAGGAAGTTTCACTTCACTCCATTGTGTTTGGACACTACCTTAAAATGAGAATAAGGCAACCAGTTATTTCTGTAATGGGTAATTAACGCTTTTGGCAAGAGTAAGGAAAAGGTGGAATCAAACTTCCTGGGTATTTATGTGACTTTAATATGAAGGATTTTGAAATTATGTATCTTTTACGTGGAAAGTTTAGATATAGGTGAGCCATCTAAAAATAAAGTATTTAAAACATAGATCTTTGGCCTCGGTGGCTCAGTCGGTTAAGCGTCTGCCTTCAGCTCAGGTCATGATCCCAGGATCCTGGGATTGAGCCCCATGTCAGGCTCTCTGCTCCTCGGGAAGTATGCTTCTCCTTCTCCCTCTGCCTCTCCCCCCACCACTCATGTCATCTCTATCACTCTCACTACCTCTTTCTCAAATAAATAAATAAAATCTTAAAAAAAAACATAGATCTTTTGCATAGGATGGTTTGTTAAGTAGAACACAGGGCCTGTCACACAAAGTAAAGCCTTATGCCAACTTGCTCAGTAGACTTAGATAAGCCACCTCTGCGTAGTTACCTTCTTGATAATTAGGGAATACATGGGTTTTCTGCTTCTGGTCTACTTTCTGAAATGTAATAATTCCAAATGATACCGATTATATATAGATGCATATGTACATGAATATTTCATCATGTCTTAGAATGGTATTTCCTTTTTATTGAGTGTCTATTATGTGCAGGCATTGTATTAGATTCTTCACTACA